TTATAGCTAGTAGTGACTGTATTGGATAGTACAGATGTAGAACATTTCCATCATTGTGGAAAGTGCTATTCTGTGAGATAACTTTGTACATCAATTATTAGCTAGGCATTTTCAGTTGGGGGAAAAGGGGAAACTAGTTCCCATTAGGACTGTGGCTCCAGTCCCCCTCCCCAAATTCAAATTTATGAGTCACTTATAAATTATGTATAAGTCTCAGATTCTTGTAAAGGTTATGAACTCTGCCTTCATGGAGCTTACAGTCTGTTTAGAAAAGCAGACATATGTAAATGAAAAGATAAATAACAAATAAAAGCAGTGTATGATAAATGATAAGTGAGAATTGTTCTCAGGGAAACAATGGATTCAAGAGACACAGAGGATAATGTACTGTTGATATACTCAATGTAAGAGGCAAAAGAGAAAGAGACTGAAAATAACCCTGAGGCTGATGGAACAGGATGACAGTGATGCAACCGGAAAGCATAAAAGGGAGGGGGAAATGAACTCAGTTTCTGCCCCATACAAGGAAACACAGAGAGAACTAGATTACACTCTTGCAAAAGCAAAGGATGATCTACTGTATCAAAGGCTGTACTGATAGGTCTATACCAGTGTTGTTATTTCTCTCTGTAACAACTTCACCAGTGACATCTGACACTGGATTCTAAAAAAAAAGGAGGTAAACTATGAGGAAATGGAGGTAATGCCCAGATGACCTGAGGGGGACAGCATTTAGGAATAATCTGTGGCTCATTAATTCTTAGATTGAGCCACCTCCATCTGTTCTGGTGACTTTTATCAGGTCAAAGGATATGAGTGTGGCTTTCTTCAGACTGTGCAAGACAAAAAGAATACCAGTAGGATTATGTATGTGACACTGATAGGCATAACAGGGTTTAAAATTTAAAAATCAGAGACAACTTCTCTAACTGACAATGAAGTCAAGTAAAAGAGAGGGAGATAGGATCTCTTTCTTCTGTTATCAAATGTGTGGGAGCATATATCAACTTCTCTGGTCATCAGTGGAATCCTGAAAATGCCAGTCAGGAACAGGTTCTTCTATACTGTGAGGGTGTGCAACAAAACAGAGCCAATGTATACAAAAGCCTGAAACTAGTGGCCTGCAGGCTTTGATATTTAATTCTGCATGACCTACCAAAGGTTCTCTTTCTTAGTTAGAAATACCTAGGAAAGTGCTATATGCGTCTAATGTTCTTGTATCCCTACGGTGAAAGTTTGTTTCAGGAAGTTCAATTTTAGAATTTGTTTTTAAAAACCCGACAAATCCAAGCCTATATAAGTAAATAGTATATAAGTAAAATAGAATAATTTAAACAGGCTCCCCTCACCTCAGGACCAGTTGGGGGTGGTACAGTAAACAAATTGTGTGTGTGTGTGGGTGGAGTTAGTGTGCATGTGTGGTGTTGCCATCTTGGCTGGCGTCTGCCTCGGGTGGACTCCGCTCCACGCAGCCATGCCTTCCAACCTAGTTTCCAAGGACCTGTTTGCCGGTTACCTAGCTCATAGGCCTGCGTGTTAGGGGTCTGGTGACTTAGCCTGGCGTATGGGAAAGTCTGGGGACCCAGCCTGGTGTATGAAGGGTTTGTGACCTAATCTGCACAATGGGCTTGAGGGGTCTGTGAGCTCCAGACCCAGCCCTAGCACGACAATTGGCCCAGTCGGCAGGATTACAGGCAGGTAAAAGAGCTTGACAATTAGCCCAGTTGGCAGGATTACAGGCAGGGAAAGAGCCCAAGTGTGACAACTGGCATAGTTGGCAGGATTCTGAGAAGGTACAGGAGTTGAAAGCCCTTGGAAGAAGGAGGAAATGTGGCTACTTTTGAATATGCTCTGCCCTATGGCCACCTTCCTGTTGACCAGGATCTGGTTGTTACACACTGTACTGCAAGGCAGCATAGACCAGGTACTACAATGCAAAACCCATTGTGAAGGGGAGCATGTGGTGCCTGGTGGCCACTTTTCTGCTGACTGGAGCCTGGCTGCTGCTCACTATGTTGCAAACTGTTCAAGATTTGTAGCAGAATGCAGAGTTGTTGGAAGCATGGATAAATGTCCAGGAGGATGACGTGCAACAACTGGCCACTCCTGCCTCTCACACCAAGGAAGACAACCAACCCAGTGGTGAGTTGAGGGAAACCGTGCGTCTCTGGGCACGACCTCTTGTGCACGAGAAATTGAGATAGTAAAGCAGCAGAAACAGGGAGAGCCCCTGGCTGCTACAGCTATGGGACCTGGGGGTGGATGGTGTAATGTGCTCTAGAGACAATATTGTAAATGCATGTTGTGTTTGTCTGAAGGCAAAAGGCTTGGAGGGTGCCACTTAAGCCCGATGGCCAGACGGGTGCTGTATAAACCCGAGAAAAGAGTGCCACATGCAGATGGGCAGATGACCCGAGGACGGGTGCCCCTGCAGAATTTCAAGTATGTTTTCTCCTGGTGAAAAGGTGGGAAAGTTAGTCTCCGTTAGTACACGCCTATTTCAGTGGCAGCAGTTACAGGAGAGCTGCAGATATGCACAGGATCAGGGTAGTCACTCCTTGATGGACTGGGTGAATGCAGCTGTTTGAACCGTGTGGGCAAATGCTGCTCAACTGCCTGAGACTGAGTGAATAGTCAGTGTAAGCTGAGCTGATTGAAGTAATTCAAAAGCCAGAATGTAAAAGGGAAGCAGATCATAAAGAGTTGGAAAATTTGCAGCCTGGCCATGAGGTAGAAAAGCGGAGGGCAAGAGAATAACGCAAGGGTGAAGCAGATAAACTGTTTGCTAAAGACATTATCTTGGCAGTGAGGCAGCCAGATGCTAAAAACCAGGACAATGGGGAAAATGCCCTAATGGCATTTGAGAAGTCTGGATGGGTGCCCCACCCATCACAGGCCCTGAGTGTGTTTGAGAAGTTTGGGAGACCACCCTCCCATCCTAGGAGAACTGAGTTTTTCTGGAGGGCAGACCTGAGGTGTCATTGCCCTTGCAAACTGCTCCCTGCATCCCGGCTGCTCTGGCTGGAGCAATCCTGCCTCAGCGCCTCCAAAGAGCAAAAGCCAAAAACCTTGGTGGTGTTCACATTGTGTTAAGTTTGCAGGCCCACAGTATGTGAGAGCAATGGAGGTGTGGCAGCCTCCACGTAGATTTTAGAAGATGTATGAAAAAGTTGGGGGACTCAGGCGGAGACCTGCTGCAGGAGTGGAGCCGCTGCAGAGGTCATCTATGGAGCAATGTGGAGCAGAAAAGTGGGGTTGGAACCCCCACAGAGAACCCCCACTGAGGAAATGTCTAGTGGAGCCAGGATGGCGGGACTGCCATCAGGAGCCCAGAACCGTGGAGCTGCTGGCAATGTGCAGCGCCAGCCTGGAAAAGCTGCAGGCACCAGGCAGCTCAATTGGCTGCACCTGGCGGAGCTGTAGGCGCGAGGTTGCACAACGCTTTAGGGGTCCAGGTGCCCCAGTGTGCTTAATGTGTGCCCTGTTTGGGTTTTGGATTTGTTTGGGGCCTGTTTTTCCTTTCTATTCCTCCATTCTAGAATGGGAATACGCACCTGATGTCTATCCCACTGTATCTGGGAAATAGATAAACTTGTTTTTGACTCTACAAGTTCATGGCTGAAAGGAGTTTTGCCTTTACTCTCAGATGAGACTTTGGACTTTTGAGTTGGTGCTGCAACAAGCTAAAGACTTTTGGGACTGTGATGGAATAGGTAATATGTGAACATAAAGGTCGTTTATCCTTGCTAAGGGAACATTGCGGAAGATTCTGAACATGTAGATTGTACAGCGAGGGACCCTGAAGGGGTGGATTGTTGGGAAAATAGAATAATTTAATCAGGCTCCCCTTGCCTTGCCCAGTTGGGGGTGGTTCAGCAAACAAATTGTGTGTGGGTGGAGTTAGTGCGTATGTGTGGTGCTGCCACCTTGGCTGGCGTCTGCCTTGGGCGGAGGCCGCTCTACGCAGCCATGCTTTCCAACCTACGGCTTCCAAGGACCTGTTTGCTGGTTACCTAGCTCATAGACCTGTGTGTTAGGGGTCTGGTGGCCTAGTCTGGTGTATGGGAAAGTCTGGGGACCCAGCCTGGCATATGAAGGGTTTGTGACCCAATCTGGACAACGGGCTTGAGGGGTCTGTGAGCTCCAGACCCAGCCCTAACTCGATAATTGGCCCAGCTGGCAGGATTATGGGCAGGTAAAAGAGCCCGAGCACGACAACATACAATGTTAATGTCCCAGAACTCTAGTGGTGGATTAACGACAATGACATGAAGTATATGGTATCTGAGATAACATATAGCTATTTCAGAAAAGCCGCTTATTCTCTTTGAGCCTTCATCTATAATATAAGGATAATATAACCTGTGTCATTGTGTTGTTTCAAAGATTTAGTAAAGATATATATATAGATATATAAAATTATATATATCTATATATATATATATAAAATGCCTAGTTTATGGCTATTTTTTATATTTAACAAATTTATAAGCATTTCCTATGCTTCCACAGTTGTACTAAATTATTGTAATTGCTGAAAAAATACTTTATCATACTGATACAACTTATTTAACCACTTCTCCATTGCTAGACATTTGGGTTGTTTTCAATGTGGCCTGGCATCTCTTTGTATATGAATTTTCAGAGGCGATAGGACCAGTAAAGAACAGACAATCCATATTTTAAGACTTGTGGAACCACAGAAGGTCTCTGTTGCATATTCTTTTTTCTTTTTTTTTAAATGACACTTTTCAAATATAAGAACCATTAGTTTGAGGACTATATAAAAAAAGGCCGCAGGCTGGGGTGGCTCTCCAACAGTAACTTGCCTAGCCCTTAATTGATAGTTTTTAGCCAGTCTGGCCTTCTTTGCAAGTTTACCAGGAAGGCAAAATCTCATTCTTAGAAGTTGTCAAGACTCTATAGGTCAGCTGTTAATCTCTAGTCCTAGGGATATGGTGTTCTTCAGATCCCTCTGCCAATATATTTTTTAGCGTGAGCTCAGACTCTGCAGCAGACCGGGACCGGGACCCGGACCGCGCCGGGCGGAGGCTGCGGGTTCTCTCGGGCCATCTGCTGGGCCGGCCCCAGGAGGCTCTGAGTACCAATGAGTGCAAAGCGCGGAGAGCCGCCTCGGCGGCCACGGCGGCGCCCACGGCCACTCCCGCCGCGCCGGAGTCTGGCACCATCCCCAAGAAGCGGTGAGTAGCGGTCTGTGGAAGGGAGCTGGCCGAGAGGGACCAGGTCGGGCCTGTGCTGCGGAAGGGCAAAGGCGAAACGGGAAGGGAGGTGACAGGGACTAGCGGAAGGCATCCCAGTCTCTTGAGGTGGGGAGCCACCTCTCTTACGAGAGTGGACCAGACCTCGGACTCTGTCAAGAAGGGGGCGGGATGAGAGTGGATTTTGGTCACTTTGAGGGTAACAGACCTGAAGAACGCTTATAGGGGAAGGGTTTAAAGGGATCCTTTTTTCTTGGGTTCTTAATGCCAGGAATTCTCTATTTTGCATGAATACTTTGGGGGCTAAGGTCTTGGAATGGGTGGCAGGGGTTCTTTGATGCTTTCCGAGATTTAAGTTTGTAGTAGATGATTACAGGGATCTCTGGTAGTTCTTGGAAGCGTGGGTGCGGGTGTCGTGCCCTGGAAAAATGTTTTGATTCGTTTCTGAGGTGTAAGTTTCCCCCGGTTTAGCGGCATGATCTTTGACTGGAAGGGAGGAAACCGATGATAATAAACTGCAAATACTGGTTAGTGATTTAGGGTGTGGTGGTATAGCTACTGAGCTCTGTGTAACCATATAAAAGACAGGGTCTGTACATGAGGGATGTTTGTAAGAAATCTTGACTTCCGACTTTTTTGGGAAATCTTAATCTCTGAGGAAAGCTAATGGGTGTAGTTATTTTCTGAGACGTAGCTTCTGAAATATAGCGTGGATAAACTTTGAGAGTGAAAAAAGGTATTGCTAATGTTTAATGTGTACTTTCAGTGTGCCAGAGATTGTGCTAAATCCATTATTTCTTTTGCTTCTTCCAAAGCCATGAGATCGGTTCAGTTTTCTCCCATTTGCAGATAAGTTAAAAAAAGATGAAGTGTGCTGCAAGTTTGGCAGGTATACTATGGTAGGTTAGAGTTTGAAAGCACATCATATTGACCTTAGGGCCAAGTTCTTAAACTGTCCTGCTTCTAATGAATTAATTCATTAATTGAACATACATGAGTCCTTACTCTTATATACACATTGTGCTAGCAATACAGAGATTTAAAAATGCAGTATTTACTTTTAAGGAACTAATAGCCTAGTAAGAAAAGTTACAGTACAGTGTGATAAGAAGCTTAGTTGATAACTGTAGCACATGGTGACTTAACCCAGGTTTGGGTGTGTTTGTTAGGGCAAAGCTTTCCATATTGTCTGAGTAAATCTTTAAGTTTGTGTTGGAAATAGCCTGCTAAAGGGGAAAAGTGTTTTTAGCAGACAAATAGTAAGTTCACAGGTAAAGAAGTAAGAAACATTTTTTTTAGAGAACTGCTGGGAGTCAAGTGTGGCAGGTGGAGATGAGAATGACAGAGGATGAAGGCTGGAGAGGTGAGTCTTGTTTACAGGATTTTATGTGGAGGGAAACATGATTAGATTTACCTTTTAGATGAGCAGTTTAGCAATATAATGGCTGGGAACATGGATCTGGGTTTGAATTTCCGCTACACAATTTCTGCTTGTTACCTTGGTTAAATCATTTAATCTCTCTCAGAGCTTCAGAGCTTCATCCCTTCATTTGTAAAAATGAAGATAATTTCTGCTTTGCAGTGTTGTGAAAACTGAAAAATATGTGGTTAAATGATCAAGTGCTTAGTGCAATGCCTGTTACATAACCCCTCAACAAATGGTAACTGCAATTTTCATTGTGTCCAAAGACAGAGAGACTAACTAGGAGACTGTTATACCAGTGAGAAATGCTGAGATTCTGAACTAAGGCATGTATTGATAGTAGGCACCCTATTTGAAAAGCTATTGGGAGGTAAATGTTCCAGAACTTGGTTACTAAGTGGTGAGGGAGGGAGGCATGAGGGATCACATCTCGTCCTTTGGCATCACTTGATGTTATTTTAGCTGTCCCTGGATTTAAAAGTTTTTGAACTTTTTAAAACGAACTTCATGTACTCTTATGCCTACTCATTAGTAACCATCTGTGTGTACATTTGTATGTGAGTTTACACTCTTAGAACTAAGTAGGAGGGCAGGTTTTCCTTATGGTTGGATTAGTGGCCTTGGTTTGCAGCATTCAGAGAAAAAGTAGTAATGTTTGTAAGGCACACTGGGGTAATGGATGAGGCTTCTCATGGCTGAAGGTGACTGGTCTCCCGTGTGGCTGCTCCAAGGACTGAAGGCATCAATAGCTCAGGCACAACTGCAACCCATTTATGGCATAGGTTACAGATGGTGGGAAATTCTGGTCTTTGGTTCAGGGTTAAGTGGCTAGTGATAAGTAAGATGTAGTCATGTACAAGTACTTAGAAGTTCAGCCAAAATATGAGGGAGCTCAAAAACTTGTATTAGATGAAATATTCTGCCTCAGAGAGTGATCTATTGGATAGATTATTTACAGGGAACCCACGTCTACCTTCTACTTCCTATTGCTTAGCTGGGGCCTCAGTTGCCAGCAATAGAACTGAGCCTAAAGGAAAGGCAAATGATGGAGCAAGGAGGAGCCAGAGTGTATATCCAATAAGGTACGAGTATGGCCATATATCAATTAACTTCGAATCATTTGGTGATAAGTGTATTACTTCTTCCCTTTTGTTACTCTTGACAACGGCATTGGTTGTAATTGTTTCATCTCATGGCTTTTTGTGCTTAAATTCATTATGGATTTGGAGTAGTGACTTCTTGAAACTTCATGTTTTCATTCCTCTTACAGAATAGTCATGCATGCATTAATTTACTCAACATTTATAAAGTAGTTGCTTTATGACAGGTACTGTGCTAGGCACAGTAGGTAAAGAGATAAATAAATAGTCCTTGCCTCAAAGAACTCAAAATCTAGAAAGGGAGATACACATTCCAGTACAGTTTGATTAGAGCCACTGCAGATGTAGGTACAGATGTAGCACAAAGGAAAGAAAGAGTGATAAACTATTTAAGGGGTCTGGGGAAGGTGATAATTTGGCAGGTTGATTGGATAGTGAGGAGAGTTTATATTCCAGGCAAAGGGAACAGCATATGGCAAAGCAAGGGGGCATGAAAGTGCATATTGTATTTAGGTAAGTAGACAATTCAATATTGGTAGAAGTGTGGGAGTAAAGTGAAAAGAGGGTAGTGGCAGGTTAGGGAGGCCTTTGGCTTGTAGGTGGTCAGTCCATTCATTCATTTATTCATTTATTCATTTATTCACTCATTTGTGCATGCAACAGCAGTGAGCAAAAACTGCCTTTATGGAACTTATATTCTAGTTGGTGTGGAGACAGTGAACAAACAAGTAATATGGTATGTCAAATGGTGATTAAATTTAATGAAGAAAAATGAAGCAGCTGAGTGGGCTAGGTGATAGAGAGCCATGGAAGGAATTAAGCTGGGAAGAGACATGATCAGATTGGGTTTGCATTTGAGAGAAGTCGCTCCAGCTGCAGTGTTAAGAATAGATTGAAGAAGGGTATTCAATAGGGAGATCAGTTAGGGGAGGCTGTTGTAGCACAATAGATGAGAAATAATGAAGGATTAAACCAAGACAATAGCAGTGAGAATGAGGAGGAAAGGGTGGGTTTGAGAGTTTTGTAAGTTAGTATATTAGGTAATACTTTAAAATTATGGGATTAAGAAAAAAATTATGTGACTAAATTAATGCCTTGGGAGTTTGGAGACCAAATGAAAGTAGAAAAGGATGATAATCCTTAGGTATGTGGACTTTTAAGAGGATTGACCAATTAAGACCTGTTGCTTACTTGTCACGTGGTCTCCCATGAGTTGGTTCCATTTACTTCTATCCAGGAACATATATTTTCATTACTTGAAATTGCTGAGCAGTTTTGAGTGTGATGGTTTACTTTTGGGCCCTCCCTTTTTCTTTAAGTGTATGTTAACTCTATGTATAGTTTCTTTTTGACCTTGCTTCTGAATGCAATTTTAGATTCTTAAAAATCATAGTAAATGTTAATTATGTATGTGACATTTTTATGCCTTGGTCTTGGATTTTTTCACTTTTTTGTGTTATTTTAAAGCTGTTGAAATGTGAAAAAGAGAAGAAATTCCTTGCTGACTTTCGTCCCTCCACACTGCTAACCACTTTCCCAGATGTAACTTTGGCTTCAGCCACATTGTGGTTTGCATTAGTCAGAACTGCTCTATGGTAATTTTTACAGAGGTTATAAACTCTTCTGGTTCAGGCCAAAGGATATCTGATTAAGAATGCTACTGAGTGTTTAATTTACTTGCTTATAATGTTATTTACATATGCCATTCTTCAAAAAATAATGTATTCTTTAACATTATTATTATGTTGGTAGAAGATGGCAGATGTTTTCTAGAAGCTTTGGCAGATGTTTTCCAGAAGGAAAAAAGCTCAGTTAATCTCTTGTAAATGTTTCCCTGGAGGGCATCCCGAAGCCTGCAAGAGCTGATGCATTTGCACAGGTGTTACTTGCACAAGTAACCTGACTTATGACTTAACATCATTTGGCAAATTTAGAGTTTATTTAGATAGTTATGTTGAATGAAATACTTAGTCTACTTTGAGTTCTTAGCTAGGAATTCTAGTGGTAGTGTAGGTTGAGTATCTGTTATCCAAAATGCTTGGGACCAGAAGTGTTTCAGGTTTCGGATGTTTTTGGATTTTGGAACATTTTCAAAATACATACTGCTTGAGCGTCCCTAATCGGAAAAACTGAAATTCTCCCAGTGAGCATTTCCTTAGAGTATCATGTTGGGGCTCAAAAAGCTTTGGGTTTTGGAGCGTTTTGGATTTTGGATTTTTAGATTAGGGATGCTCAATCTGTAGTAATAGGAGTCTTAATTTGAGTCCTAATATGCCAGGCACAGCTAAAGTTTATGTACGTTATCTCATTTAATTTTCATAGCACCTCTGAAAATAGGTGATCCTACATGTATGTTGTAGGTGAGGAAGTAGAGGCTCAAGGAAGTTGATTTGTGTAAGGTCATGCAACTGTGAAATGAAAGAGACTGCATTTCAACACTGGTGTTGCTCTAGAGCCCA